TCACGCCAGCCGTGCCCAGTGGCACGCCAGCGCACGCGAGTGACCATGACCGTGCCCAGTGCTGCTCAGCAAGCCGACAGCAGTCATGCCATGCCGCCAGTGCCCGCGGCTAGTCCAGGCAGCGCCAGCACCCACAGCCTTGGCAGGCCTGTTGGCCGAGCCAGCGGCCGACCGCCCGGCCAGAGCAGGCCAGCAGTCCGGCCAGACTGGTTGGATCGGTTCAGACCATATTTTCATGTTTTTAGTCCTGGTTCATATTCAAGTCTCATTTTCCGTTAAAATTCCAGGTCCAGTTCAGTTCAGTAAATTTATATCAGTTCAGTTCCGTATTTAACCGGTTTGAGTTATACCGATTAAATCCAAATATCATGTCAAGTCCATTAGAGCATCTTAACAAATTAAACAGATATTTTTATCAGTCTGAGCATAGTACTTAGTAATTGTTTATATTATATTTCGGTTTGATCAGGCATCACATATCAGCACTGCCTTTCATTTTCAAAGGATCAGGTGGGGACTCAGACTGGGTATTACATTGATTATAATTACGCTACCATGTTTGAGGTATGTATTATTAGTATCCGCTCGGAATGGTCGCCGGTCCATTCTGGGTTCTAGTGGCCTAGTCTGTCCACAAGAGTGTGCACATGGTGTCCGGCATTTATGCTGACAGATGTTCAGTTATTAGTCAGGTGATGATTATCACGAGATCAGTATCAGATCATGATTGTTCAGTACCGGTATCAGTTTCAGCTCAGTATCAGTTCAGTTATATATGCCAGGATCATGATATTGTTATTATTTTCACTGTTTACTTTAATATGAGTTTCTGCGGAGCACAGTGGATTAGTGCTCACGCCCCCACATTATTCATGTTTTTCAAGTCACAGGGTCGGGGCCGAGGAGTGAGCTGGCGACCGGTTCAGGACATTTGTATATATGTATAATCATGTTTTGGCTACACTATGATTTCCGCTACTATTTCAGTTTACCAAACCAGTTTTTGATCCGAAGTTAGTCGGTTATTATGTTATATAACTATTTTGTCGTTAGACTAAAATAACAGTATTCAGATAAAGTCAGATTTTACGATAACACTCTGATTCAGTATTTCGCAAAACAAATGCTTTTATTTAGAGAAGTTTTGCGAAAATCATGCTCTGATTTTCATGAAATAGCGGGGTGTTACACAAGGGATGGCGAATACGTTCAACTTGCAGACCGATCCCTTCTCACACTAGTTGAACGCCATTAACTCTGAAAGTATACTTTTCACGAACAATGGCGAAAAAACCCCGTACCTCCTCTGCAAAGACCCCCAGACTCCTCAGCCCAATTCTGCTGCTCATCCTCAGCCGACAAAGGCTAGGAAAGGCGATAAAGGCAGTGACCCATCGGATAACGACGAAGGTGAGGAAATAATGAAGAACTTGACTTCTCCAAGTGTAATTCACAGTGAGAACATAGCACGGGGTAAAGTAGTAGTTGAGTGACTTGAGTCGATGTAAAGTAGTTGAGTTCTTGTAAAATTGCGACATACATACGTCGCATATGATCCGCCGAATTGGTGCATAATTTATTTTATAAAAAATTGTTGATGTAATCATGTAAAAGTAGTTGAGTCGATGTAAAATTGCGACATACATACGTCGCATTTTATTCCCCGAATTGGTGCATAATTAATTATAATATTTATTTTTTTGGAAAAGTTCTTTGTCTGTGAATTAAATACAAATTGAAGACTACTATTAGGCGAATGAACCTTCAATTTTTAATTCGATACAGCTCTGCATAAAAACCGCTTCTCACTCGTATTATAACGAATAACAATATATTTTTTTACGTTTGTTTTTCTAAATTTTCTATTCTGTGTCAAACGAAATTGCGAGTGCGACATACGAATTTCACATATTAGTCCCCGTGTTGGTAAATAATTAATTGTATAAAATTAATTTTTGGAAAGTTCTTGGTCTATGACTGAGTTACTATTAGTAATGAACCTGCGATTATTACTCGAAACAATTCCGCATAAAAACCGCATAACACTCGTACAATATCGTATAACATATATTTTTTATGTTGGTTTTTGTCAATTTTCTAATATGCGACATACAAAATTGCGACTTGCGAATGTCGCATATTTTTCCAAGAGTTGGTAAATAACAATTTTTGGAAAATTCTTGTTCTTTGACTAAATTAATAATAAATTGAAAAAAAAAACTATTAGGTGAAAAAAGCGGTGCGTAACACTATTTGAAATGTGTTCGCATATTGATACAATATGCGAGGTTTATATGGATACGCGATTTGTAAATATGCGAAAACAATACGCATAATCGATAGTTATCTAGCCTTATAGATTTGGATATGCGAATCTTAAATTATGCGAACATATGCCGCATACTCCTAAATGATGCGTTTGATCTGGCCTGGATATGCGATTAAAAAATATAAATTACTTTTATTTATTCTTTTCATTACGTTATGCGAACACAATGCGATTTATCGCACTTTGTTCACAGTTCTGCGAAATTCCTTTGAATAATAATTTCCCTTGGAATATTGTCGGACATATCGTCCATGCAACATATTGTTTTGTTTTGACATATGAATCATGATTAAACACATATACTTGACAGAAGAAAAAAATATTTATTATTACTGCAGTCAGTCTAACAAAATAAGCCAAACAACTTTTAATTACATGTCCAGTGGATTCTAAGGGTCGAGATCGATGACTTCCACCTTTGGTGGTGGCTGATGGATCTGATCATCACCGTCATCGTCTATTTTTTCCTCCCAAATTGGGTCGTCAATCGAAGCACCAGACCCGCCCTCCAAGTCGATCGTCGCTGCGTTGCGCTCGGTAAAAACCTCGTAACACTCACCATACCAAGGGAATCCCTTCGAACGAAAAAGTGCCTGAGTGTCGGTCCTCTGTGTAATAAATTTGAATCTTTTTAGGTTATTATGGCCGCGTCACAAAAATGCATGCTTGAACAAACTAAAATAAAAAATCAAATGCAATTTACCTCCTCCCCTACATACACCTAGTACATGTGGTTAACCCTAGCAAAGCCTGTATCACGACACAAGAGGACCCCTGGAATCCTAAGGGAAAGCAGAAAATTTATCGAAATAATTTCTGAGCCACTGAATCTTTCGCCGGACTTGGGCAATAGTAAACTCCCTCTTAAATGCATAACTCAGGCATTGGTTCAGGACTATCGAAATTTCTGCCCACAAAGAATTGAACACATGTCCTTGGTGTATATCTGCCTTCTGACGGCACCATTTGAAAAACACTTGGTAGCAAATACGTTCCTCCTCCTCTGTCCAGTCCATGCCACGGAAGCGGATTGCGATCTTTTCATAGGGTAAAATACTTTCCATTTTTTTCTTTTTTTTTTTGGCTGCGATCGAAAGATAGGGTTTTAAGAAGTGAAAGGTCGCCTCTTCAACAAAGAGAATGAAAGGTTAATAAATATAGATAGCATTTAAGGCTAGGTAGATATACATAACCTCGAATAAATGAGGAAGCATGCAAATCTTCATACTTTTTACGTGTAAAAGCAGAAAATCATTCAATGTGGTGCGTAACTTATGCGAATAATATGCGAAGCACTTTCGATTTGGATAGATGGTGCAGACAATCAATCAATGCGGTGCGTGACGTATGCGAAAAAAAATGGCAGATAGTCGTAAATTATGTGGTTTTCGATTTGGATATACGATTCGTTAATTATACGGTTGAAGACTAGGCGAATGAACCTGCGAATCAACCCAGTTGTGCGATTATTATGGGATATGATATGTGAATCGCACAATCAACCCAATTGTGCGATTATTATGGGATATAATATGAGAATCGCACAATCAACCCAATTGTGCGATTATTATGGGACATGTTATGCGAATCGCACAATTGACCCAATTGTGCGATTATTATGGGATATGATACGGGAATCGCACAATCAACCCAATTGTGCGATTATTATGGGATATGATATGGGAAACGCACATTCAACCCAATTGTGCGATTATTATGGGACATGTTATGCGAATTGCACAATTAACCCAATTGTGCAATTATTATGGGATATGATATTGGAATCGCACAATCAACCTAATTGTGCGATTATTATGGGAAATGTTACACGAATCGCACAATTAACCCAATTGTGCGATTATTATGGGATATGATATGAGAATCAACCCAATTGTGTGATTATTATGGGACATGTTATGTCAATCGCACAATTAACCCAATTGTGCGATTATTATGGGACATGTTATGCGAATCGCACAATCAACTCAATGGTGCGATTATTATGGGACATGTCTGCAGGTCAACCATGTGCAGGTCAACCCAATTCCGATTATGACAATTGTACCTGGATTACGAACATTTTCTTCTCCTTGACCTCTTTGTCTTCGTCGCCTGAGTCATCATTGTGCGTGTTGGTTTGGTCATCATTATTGTCACCTTCACGAGAATGACCTGGTCGATTCGAACAACCCGCGGTTTGATCATCAGCACCCCAATGATATCCAGTATGTGCAAATGAACTAGGGCCTGCTTGATGTGAATATGGGGCCTCGTAGAAAAATGCAGAACCATCAACACCAAAAGAACTAGGAAATACACCTTGGGACGCCATCATTTGCGTGAAGCTTTGTTGGGCCGTCCCCGGAATCTCTACATTTACTCGCTTCTCCAACTCCACGTAAATGTTGGGAATTTTTTGTTCTTCAATCAACTCCAAGATATCCTCACTGGATTCGATTTTCATCTTCACTACTCGTTCCTTTTCATCAAATACTGCCCACAATATGTACTCAAAATTACAAGGATCCGCCTTCAATAATGCTTGAACACGAGAAACTACTTCTGAATACATTTGTAGGCCGTAATTTATTCTCATCAGCTCTGCCACTCCACCAAGATATGAACCCCCAGAAAACGTACCACCATAGCTCACGCATACTCTAACACGATTGCTATCCATTCAAATAAGTGAACAACAAAAGGAATTAAAACAAAAGAAACAGAAAATTGCAGTAGAGATGAATGGTGCAGACGTTGAATTGTTAGAGATCACTGCTTTTTTGCCTGCATGATAAATGCACAGACAAAATCCTCACTTGTGAAAAAACAGTCAATTAATGAGGTGCGTAACTTATGCGACAGATATGCGATCAAATTCTGACTAGTCGTAAAATTGCCATGCCGATATGGCCCTCCGAAAAAATGGCGCGTAATCGTCAATTAAATTATGCTTTATTCGATTTGGTTATGCGATTCTTCAATATGCGAGCGAAAAAATGTCGCATAATTGTCAATTATCCAGCAGATATATGCGAAAGTTTTTCGCATACTAGTAAATTATGCGATTGACTTGGATATGCAATTTTCAGAAAATGCGAATTCAACAAATTATGCGAAATATATGTGAAAGATTTTCGTACAGTCATAAATTTGCAAGGTCGATATAGCCTTGCGAAAAGAAGGCGTATAATCATCGTAAATTATGTTGCATTCGATTTTGATACTCGATTCTTAAAACTGCAAAAGATGTTCGCATATTTATAGATTGTGCATTTGATGTGGTTATGCGATTAATATATTCGCATAGTCATAAATTATGTGGTCGGTTGGATATGCGCTGGTTCATTGGACATGCGAGTGTAATATCGCATAGCATTTCGTGATTTTTGGGGTGTAAAAGAAGTTATTTGACGGGGCGATGTGTGAAAGAAAGAATAGATTTATAACGGGGAGAAAAAGATTTTGCCCCATAATAAAAAGTATCTATTTTTTTTGTAATTTAAAAAAAAATATATATATGCAAACGAAATATACGGTGCAACACAACAGTTATTAATGTGCAATTCATACATCATTATGGTGTAATGTGTCGGTTTGTATTGTCCATATTGAACTAACTAAACCTTTGTCCCAAATCAAATTGAAAATGAATATAATTAATTAGTTTATTTAATTCGATTCACTGAATTATTCTATATTAAACTTATATTTATATTAATAAATTTATTTATTATCTTTATATTAGTTTTGGTTGAACAAATCGATCTCGGTTGGTTTCGATCTCTATTGTTCAATCTGATAGTCGTGATAAAAGTGTAGCATGTTATTTTCTAAAGTGCAACGCGTTGTTTTATAAAGTGTAACATGTTGATGTATAAAGTGTACTGCTGTAATTTTTTGTATGTTAACATGTTTATGGTAGTCAGAGTCGGTCCTGAAAAAATGTAGGCACTAGGCCAAATAAATAAATAGTGTTGTTTTTATTAGAAAAAAAAATAATAGACAATTTATCATATTACAGAAATAATAATGAAGATTATAGCAAAATTTATAAAATTATATTAAAAAAGTTGACATTGTTTTTATTAGAAAACAATCATAAGCACTTTATCATATTTCATAAAAAAAAATTAAGATTATAGCAAAATTATAATATTTTATTACAAAATTGACAATAGGTAAAAAAATAAATCATGTAAAGTCCTTGTATAAGAAAAATGACGATAAAATATAAACAATAACTATTTTCACATTAACAATATGTTTAATTTTATTATAATTTTAAATAGTCAACTCTTTTGTTGAAAAAAACACTAACATTACTTCTAATATATTAATTATATTAATTAAAATGAGAATGTGAGACTCAATCTTAGTTATTTTGTCTAGATTAAAATCAATTAAAATATATATTAATTAAATAATAAAATAATTATTACTTGACTCCGGCGTTGACCGTTCACTCCGGCGTTGACCGTTGACTTCCTACGTTGACCATTGACTTCGGCATTGACCATCGACTTCCGACGTTGGCTTGTTGCCCCTGGTATGCAGTATGTATGAAGTAAATATGCATCCAGTACCATACATTTAATATGAACTAAATATGCATGAGGTATGAATTGCACATGCAGTCTTTATGAAATAAATATGCACCAATAATATCAACTAAGTATGCACCTGTTATTAACTAAATATGCATCTGTTATGAGCTAAATATGCGTCATGAATGAACTAAATATGCAGCGAAAATATGCAATAAAATGTACATTTTATATATGTAATTTATGATGCATATTTAGTTAATTTATGATGCATATTTAGGTAATTTATGATGCATATTTAGTTAATACAAAATGCATACTTGTTATATTTAAATTAAATATATAATGATGCATATATAGTTAATTTATGATGCATATTTAGTTAATTCATGATACATATTTAGTTCTTACGAAATGCATATTTAGTTCATGAACAGTGCATACCTAGTTTATTTGAGATCCAATCATAACAATTTCTTTGTGTAAATTATTAACTTATATTGATTAATTTAAAATTAAAATTAATTATATAATAAAAATCATTAATTACTATATTTAATTTCATTGTATAAAATGAATATTATATTGCATATTTTCGTTGCATAATTAGTTCATTCATGATGCATATTTAGTTAGCAAAAGGTGCATATTTAGTGCATAAACAGTGCATACGTAGTTGATATTATTGGTGCATATTTAGTTCATAAGGATGACATATATAATTCATATCCTATGCATATTAAGTTCATATAAAGTGCATAGTACGGTATGCATGTTTACTTTATACATAATGCATACTAGGGGTCAACAGTCAATGCCGGAAGTTAACGATCAATGCCGGAAGTCAACGGTCAACACCGAAAGTCAACGGTCAACGCCAGAGTCAGCGGTCAATGCGAGAGTCAATGGTCAATTGTCAAAATAATATTTAAATAACTAAAATAATAAAAATAAAGAATTAAGTAATAAAATAAAGAATTATTGTTTAAATGAAGAGTTAAATCTTGACCATACATCATGTACCAATTTAGTGGCTAGGAATGAGTTTCACATGCACACTTTTAATAAGTATTCTCATTGGATCTAATCCATATATATGTATATTGGTAATGCTTCCTTACCCACAGTGGGCACATGTTGATATGTCCACCGCTTATGTAACATGCTCTCATTGGTAATGTTAATATGGTCAAAAAAATACATGACCAATGTGTGCATGACAAAAAAGTGGTGAACATATTAACATGTGCCCACCGTGGGTAGGGGAGCATTAATTACCAATCTATATATATGTATATATATGAGAAGGGATCATATGAGAATGGTATATAGTGAAAGAAATAAGAATGATTATGGACCACTAGATAAATCCTATCAATGGACATAATTAATTCTAAATTAATTAACAATATCAAACCTGTCAATGGCAAACTCATAAATACATGAGTAATAAATACATCAGGGAGGCATTTATGTAATTCATGCTACACTCAAACTCAATGGGCCCCACACTTATATAATAATTGTTTATCTCTCCTCTCTATCTCTTTCTCCCTATTTCTCTCTCTCTCTCTGTGGCACACACGCACACAGTTTGTTGGGTTCTGTTAGGAACGTAAAACAACATGCACAGTATTGAACTTTATCGAAATAAATCCTAACGCAGCGGAATCTATAGTTAGGATATGGACGTTTACCTTTTAAAATTTTTGCCGACTCTGAGACGATGTAGAGTACCGTTGGTGAAGTTCGTCTGAACACCACAACCTAATGGGCGGATAGGTTTGACCTTTAGTTGATTCTAATCAACACGTCAAACGGATCACAATCACACGGTGGCTTGTCTCGGCGTCGGGTGGCAGCGGGC